CATTTATTTCAAAAACCACTTTAAAAGTTGGAGTTGCATCTGCAATAATAAATTTTAATGATGGTATATCTGGACTAGTGCAACTTTTTGATAAGATTGGAATATCTTTTGGAGCAAAAACAATAATCGGTTCAATCAAAAAAGACACTCAACGGATTCAAAATATGAACAAAAAATCAACAAAAGAGGGAATAAATAAAAGAAAGTTGATTAAAGCTGTCAGAAAAGGTTATTTGGACAAAGAAAAAGAACTAGAAGGAGAGGAATCATACAAACTTGGAAATTTTTGAAATTTTTTTTCTTTATGTTTTGTTTTCTTGGTTTCCAGAATTCTTTTTGTGGGTTAACGAAAACATAGATCTCTAAAGATCTAGTAGAGTTTTTATCTTGAAATTTTCAACACTTGTTTAAAATATACTGTACTAGTGTCTAAAGCAGAATAAAGCTATATACTTAAAAACTTAATGAGATATCAATCACTAATCACTGAACTATTTATCGAAAAAAATAGAAATTAAAAGAATCTCCGCCATTTTTGAACAGTTAATCAGTTTTGAAAACTTTTGCTTTAGGCACTAGTTAAGCATATATTGTCTTACTGTAGCAAATTTCATACTGATACCAGTTGTAGATCTTCAAATAATCATGTTTTGCTTTTTAGTTAATTTTTTGAATTTTTGCTGACTCATCAAAAAATAATCAACTTTTTTAATTTTTTTTTTGTTTTAAATATTTATTTTTATGATGGTTGTTGTATGTATTTATTTCAGTATCAAACAACAAGTATTTAAAAAAATAGTTTTTTTACCAGCTAACCACCTTAAAACATTTGTTTTTTCTTCCACCATGTTTCTGTTGTTTTTTAATGCTATAAATTTATATGGTGTAATAAAACTTTTGTATTTTTTGTAAAAATTTCGAAACGAATGAGTTATTTCTGAATCTCAACATTCTAACAAATTAGATTGTTTTAAAAAGCTAAAAAATTGCCTTTATTCTATTGTAGATTTAAAACTATTTCCAATTTGAGATAAAAGCAAATCGAAAGTTTCCTTATAAATGCTGTGAATAAAAATCTGTTCTCGACTTTTGTTAAAACTTTCTTCAAAATGCGGTTCATCAAAAAATTTCTTACGAACCGGTATTCGTTTAGATTTAATCAGTTGTAATTCTATACACTTACGCCATTTTATTTGCGTCAATCTTAAACGAATCTTACTTTTTTTAAGTATTTTAAGTGTATCCATCCATTTTTCCAACGAAGAAATGACTTTCATTAAATTGATTTTTTTTTTAAGAAGTAAACTTATTGTGTTAAATTCATTTAATATTCGACTTACAATTTGTAAAATAGCAAAAACTCTATGTTTGAAATCGATATTTTTATTTTCAAAGCTCAAGTTCTTCTGATTTTTGAGAAATCAAAATAATTTTATTGAGTGTTCTAAGTATCTCTATAAACCTTGATTTGAAGAGATTTCCATCTTCTAGCCCATCGAGTGGGATTGAGGGTTTTCATTGTAGTATCACTTTCATCAGTAAAAGAAGACAATATGCCCCATCTGTTTATGCTTAAACCGAAAAAAATAATTATTTTTTGTATTCTTGCAAAAAAAGTTGATATTTCTAGAATATGTTTTATTATGTCATTTATCACTAGATTAAAATTATGAGCATTACAATGAATATAGTCTGCATTTGGTTAAAGTTCTTTTATTTTATTTTGAACACCATTGTGTATTCGGGACATAACATTGACAACTTTGCCCAATCAGTTTATCAATAGACAGTTGAATTTTTCCATAAATTTTATTAATTTTTTTTAATACCTGTTGCATCTTGGGATTGAGGTTACTTCTTGGAATTCTAAAAATAGTTCTTTTTTATTTACTTTAGATGGAATTACACTGTCGTAATATTCAATTTCAACATATATGTAGACTTCACTTGATATACCCTTTTTTTTGGAGTCAATTATTTTGTCTGTCGTGATAGAAAAAAATGAGGCAGACTTTTTTCTGTTACTTTATTTTTTCTGAACGCCAATCGTTATCGCAATAACTTAGACCTTCCTACATTTATTTACGGTGATGTCCTCCATGAGTTATCTACCCTTTATCTTCTAGGATTAACTCATGTTCAGGTATTTCTTGGAAATCATATATCAAATCTATTTCAAAATTAGTATCTGCTAAGGCTGCATCTCTTTATCGAGCTCCACACTTTCTTACTCTGGATTCTCTATAAATCTCAAATCCAATCTTGTATGGAATACTGTTGCCATAACTGGGGCGGATCTTCTAATAATGCCCTTTTTCTTTTAGACAAGGTGCAAAAACGCATTGTAAACATAGTTGGACCTGTTCTTGCAGCCAACCTTCAACTATTATCACATTGTTGTAATGTTGCTTCTTTTTCTCTTTTCTACAAATACTATAATAGGCACTGCTCTAAAGAGCTAGCGTCTCTTGTACCATCTACTAAAATTCATTCTTGTGTTACTCGTCATTTAACTAAGCCTTATCCTTCTTCTGTGACTGTTCCTAAGTGTTCCCAAAACTCTAGTTTTTTTCCTCGAATATCAGTTGTTTGGAATTTGCTTGCTTTAGTTTGCTTTCCTGATTCATATAATTTGCAATCTTTTAAGTCGTCTGTCAATCGTTATCTTGCTCTACAATCTTGATCTTTTCTTTTCTTTGTTATTTTTAATATGTAAACGAATTTAATTGTCCGGAAACATCTTCCAAACATGTGTCCGATACCACCCTATCGTACCTCATTTACAACTAGTTTTAAAACCAGTGAAATAAAGCTTTTAACAAACTTTTTTTTCAATACCTATTGTAAATAAAAATCTTTAATTGATAAAAAGTTATTAGTTTACATAAACATGGCATATTATGATAGATATTTTGAATATGTTATATTTTCACTCAAATAATATTTTTATAGCATTTAAAACCACATAGCTTCTTTAGTTTAAGCTGTACATTAAACGTCAGGAGTTACCCGCCGTCCGAGGCTGCCCGACTTACCCCTACTTAAAAATTTGTATAATATACTGATAATAAAAATTTAGAGAGCTACTTTAAGCACCTATAAAATACAGAAAAAAAATTAATAAATGTTAATTAGACCCATACTATCCCATACATTAACATTATCCCATCTTAACCTATTAATAATTAATTTTTATTCTAAACTGCATCTTTGTATTAATATTAAATACTAGTTGTCCGGACCAGTAAAATATTGATTTTAGTAAGTCTGTTCCATGTCGTCTCTCCCTTCCTATAATTATCTTAGCAAACTAATAGAATGCAAAATTAAAGAATATAGAGTAGATTAGGGTAATACAACTACCTTAAGTCAAAATTTGAATATTTTTTCTTAAAAACACAGAGGTTTTAAAAAAAGTAGCAACAGTGTTCATATTTCCTAGACCACTTGGTAATATGAGCACTTTAAATTAGCTCCAAAAATAAGATTAATTAAGTAAAAAAATACAATGGAACAATCTCCAAAAATTTATATGTTTATACTTATGTCAAATAAGGATGCTTTACAAAAACTTGCAATGATTTGAGTTTGGGAAAGAAAAAGCCCTAAAATTTTAGCCACAACTGTCCCAAATAAGAGAGCAACATGTTGATAAAAATTTTTTTGTGCTATTTTTAAATAAAATTATATTCATCGATAAACTCTAAATTTTATAAAATAATCTCTTTACGTTCAAAATTACGACCTCATAAAGTTTGTAACCCCTCAATTTGAGGGGTTACATTTAAGCATTACATTTACAAAAAATATAAACATATAAAAGTTTGTATCATGTCAAAAAGTTAGTTATCTCAAACATCAAAAAATGCTGAATCCGCGTTTTTACAAGACGTCATCATGTTTGATTTACATATAAATATATCTAATTTTTATGTAAATTAATAATTTTTTATCGATTAAAAATACATTTTTATTAACAATATTTATTAAATATTGTAAAAAAGTTTTAAAACTAGTATTTGTGAATGAGATAATATCGGGTGATATCGGACACATGTTTTAAGGGTGGTTCCGGACAACTTAATCCATTTATACATTAAAAATGAACAACTATATTATATAAAAATAATACATTAAATATAATACACAAACCCATAATAGTAATTCATTCAATTCCAATAAAAAACCCTAAGATTTCAAAAAGTGGTTTTAAAGTTTAAATTAAAGCAGCCGAGGCGCAGTGGTAGCGCACTCGCCTCAGAAACATAAAATCTGTGGTTCAAATCCCACCTCTGGGCGAGTTTTGCAACATCGGTTGGAAAGAAAGCGTGAATATCCTATTAAATGCTCTTCCGTGGTGCTCTGTGATAAGACCGTAATGAGTTCTTGAGGTGCCTAAAAAACAAAACAAAAAAAAAAGTGCTTGTTTTTATTAGTCAAAAGCTAATGTTTATATTTCTAAATAATGACATTTTCGTTCCTAATCTTTATATATCATAGATAATTTTTTGGCGATTTTTTTAAAAATGTCTTGACAACATTCCAATGCTAACTATATATTATATTTGTGTCACACGGGTAAAAAAGAGTTAAATCATGTTTAAACATAGTGTCCGCGCTATCCTCCAATTTTGAAATATGCCTTTTTTCTAACATTTTTTGTTTTATGTTTTGTATATTATTAAAGTACATAATAATTTTTTTTTTGTTTCTAAATCAATAAATCAATGTTTATACTTTTAATAAAGTTTTTTGACACTTTGTATTCTGTTAGTACACGTGTACAATCTATTTTTTCCTTAAGTGTCCAGGACTAGTTTCTGTAGTTTATACATAAAATGTATAAATTACAGAAACTATGTTTTTGGAAAGAAATTGTTTATCAAGAAATTTTTTAATTTTTATCATAATAAGAAAGCTTATTTTATTCGAAAACCATTCAAAATAATAATAATTTTTTTTTTAGATCAATCAATAATAAAGAAAAACAAACAAAAATCTTCAAATTGAAAAGTAATTAAATCTCTTTATATAAAAGTATACATTTTCTAGTTAGAAACAAACATCTAGTTTGTTTATTTCGCTTAGTTCGTTGTTTACTTCGTTCTTAAGATAACTCGATCTGCAAATTGGACAAACAAGTTCTATATTTTCGCAATAGAATTCGTACGAATTTAAACATGCAGTATGGAATAAATGAGAACAGCTCAACAAAGTGTTATTCCCTTTTTTCAATTTAGTTAAGCAAATAGAGCAATGATTTGCTATCTCGTTTGCTTTTATCTTTATGTTATTCCAGTCTATTTGACTGCTTTCGTTCAATCGAACGTTTTCAAATATTGACTTGCAATTTGCAATACTCTTAGCAACGGAATCAAGTAAATAGTCAACATCACTGCAATGTTTGCTGTACGTTTCAGTAATGGAGTTTGATAAAACTAATAATTTTTTACAAAAATATTTCCTTCTTATGTTTTGATTTATTGGAGGATTAAGTGCTAGAAATTGATTGTACTTCTTACGGGCAATAAAGCCTCTCCAAACAGATTGAATTCTGATGGCAGAGCGAATTATAGTTTGTTTTGTACCTTCAAATACTACACGCATCTCATTGTTTTGTGTTCGACACATCGGACAACATACTTTATTAGAGAGTTTGAAAAAAGATTGTACACACGTTTTGTGAAACACGTGGCTACATGCTAATATAACTTCTAGGCGGTTTGGAGTGTAGGGCTCTTTACAAATAGGACAAGGCTCTGAAAAAATATTTCTCTTCAAAGACAGCTTTTTCTGGTTTTCCCAATCTGTTTCGCTTAATTTACGGTTAATCTTTGTTTCGAAAATTCCTAATTTTTCTGCCAACGAGTGATTTCGATAATCTTCTAACCTGTCAATAACGTATTCTTTTTTTGCTTCATTTTTTTTAGGACGTATAGAATCAAACTTGTAGGGTATTTTCTTGTTAACTTTTTTTTTAGGTTTTCGCACAGTTTCATCGCTAGGAATTAACTGAAAAGTTTTTACTATATGATCTTGAATTGCGACAGAATTCAACACGACAGTCTGAAAACCTTTGTTATCTTTAATCATCATTAATTTTCTTTTATTTATGGAATTCCTTTAAATTTTTTTTTTATTTGTATTATCTTTTTACACAAAAACTTTTACTAATGAAATAATAGTAAGTAACAATAATAAAAAAACTTTTACTAAGAAATAATAGTAAGTAAACAATAGAAAACTAACCAGCGCTTATTCAAACGCAATATTGGAAATGAAGTCGCAATAGTGCAAATTGATCAAAGGAATAAAGTACTTTTAATTACTTGTTCTAATGAATCCAATTTTTATTGAATCTTTTAAAATAATTTTCTTGTTATACGCTATTTACGTTTAATGAATTTGATTAATAAGGCTGTGTATAAATTTTTTGTTTTAAATATATTTTGATATTAATATTTTTCTAATAGTCTTTCCCAGATAAACTGAAAATAGCAAAATCAACTCCAATCTTCAAGACCGGCGATCGTACAAATATAGCAAATTATCGCGCTATCTCGGTTCTTCCAGTTTTTTCAAAAGTATTAAAAAAACTAATGTTTAATCGAGTCTAATCTGATTTTATTGAAAATAAAATAATGAATGAAAACCAATTTGGCTCTAAAATAAATAATTCAACCAAACATGCCGTTCTTTAACATACGCACAACATTGCAGATTTATTATCTGTTTTACAGATATCTCGTTTTACATTAGGGTTTTTATTGACTTGTCCAAAGCATTTGATAACGTGAATCACCAAATCCTATTAAAAAAACTTATTTCTTATGGTATTAAAGATAAAACTGTGCTTTGGTTCAAAAGTTACCTTACAAACCGTAAACAGTTTGTTTTCAATAAAGATTCCACGTCTTGTGCATTTATGAATATATCATGTGGAGTTCCGCAAGGATCTATACTTGGTCCACTCTTTTTTTTAATATACATAAACGATCTTCATAAATCTTCAAACCTAAGAACAATAAATTTTGCAGATGATACAAATTTATTTTTGTCTTATGAAAATATTAATATACTATTTACTGATATGACAAATGAGTTAAAGAACGTTTCTGTTTGGTTTAAAAAAAATAGAATGTCCTTCAATATTGAAAAAACGAAATGGACACTCTTTTATCCGCCTTCCAAAAAACAGAAACTTTCACATATCGTGCCAGACCTTTTAATCGACAATATTACTTTAAAGAAGGGAAAAGGTTACAAAGTTTCTAGGAATATATATTGATGAAAATTTGTCCTGGAGGTATCATATCGGTACTACTTCCACAAAAATTGCAAAATGCATCGGAATTCATTATAAAGCAAGAAATATATTATGTAAACATCAGTTAACACAATTGTATTATTCATTTATTCATTGTCATATAAACTTTGCAAATAGCATATGGGGAAACACCCATACAACAAAGCCATACACACCCATAAGACAAATCTCTTTAGCTTCGTCAGAAACACGCAGTTCGCGTAATAAATTTTAAAATCGGTTTTCTAACACAAAACAACTTTTTAAAGAAATGAATATTTTGAATGTGTACCAACTTAATGTTTTTAATATTTTGTGCTTTATGTTTAAATGTAGAGAAAATCTATCACCAACTGTATTTAAAAATGTTTATAATTTGATACCGAAAAAACAAATTTAACTTTTGCACTAATAACAATCTTATAGCCCCCTTTTGACAGCAAAAAAAATACCAGTTTTTTGTTTCTTATCGAGGACCTTATCTCTAAAAAAAATAGTTTTACCAAAATTTGATTTTTCTATTAAAATGGCTTATGCTTAATTTAAACAGAAACTTAAAAAGGTTATCCTTTTATTAAAAAACATTCTCATTTATTTTTAACTATTTTTATATATTGTTTTGTTTTAGACTAATAATTACTAAGTTTTTTAAAAAAGATGTCTTATCATTTCATGACGAACAGTTTATTTTTAATTAAAATTATATTGAAAAAGTGTAAATGTATTATATTTTTTTAGGGTTTCATGATAATATCCTCATGATCTTCAAGAAGTCTTGCGTTTGCACAGTCAGTCAAAATCCATAAAAACGGCAAAAAAAAAAAACCCATAAAAAACTCTTGCTAGAAAATAATTAATTAAGTTATAATGTATATATACCACTAAAAGACAATAATTAATTTTTTGTGATTAATTTATAAGGTTTTACCAATTTATACGCTTTTTTCCAAGACTTATTTTTTAATCTTATTTCTCGGAAAAGTCGTTCACAAAAGTCTCGCTTTAGTGTCACTTTTTTTAAGATTGGTATGGGTAAAATTTAATTTGAAGTCATATGTTTAATATGTTTAGTAACTATTAATGACATTTTTGACAATTAATTTTAATTTTTGATTTTCATTACTGAGATCTCAAAAATGTGTCATAGTTCATGAGTTTAGTTCAAAAACTAATAGATTCCACTAGATTCCATGGTAGTTTTAATATTTTCCCATGATTTCATATGTATGAAAGCAAAAAAAAATTAAAATCATTTGCCCCAACTTGCCAATTGAAATAAGACCTTTTAATTACTTCGTATTTTTTATGTTTTTTTCCGTTTTTAATTAAAACTTGTGAATAAAGTAGCGAACAATAGTTCATTCCTTACATTCATCACATTAGTAAAAATACTCAAGCGGATGGTGCTAATTATCAAACCTAAAAAATCGAAATATGCATTAGTTGACGGCATATTGCATTTTATAAAACGTAATAATTTTTTTTTTCATTATAATTTTTAGGTGCCCCAAGAAGACCTAACGATCTTGTCACAGAGCACCGCGTAAGTGGATTTAACCAGGAAGTTCACGCCTCCTTCCTTACCGTGACGCGAAAATATGTCTAGAACTCGTTTCGAACCTGGATCTTCTGTTTATAAAGCAAGCGCTCTAACCACTGCGCCACGGCCGCACAATTTGGCAAATCAATTGATAAAAAAATGAATATAAAATTTTAAAAGAAAAAATGAATAGACGTCAAGTTTGAGGTAAAGTTAAAAGTAGAGGTAGGCAAACCGGATACGACAATCGCATTTAAGATCAAACTAAATTTAACCACATTTGATGGTAAAGTGGTTAATGCCCTCACTAACACTCTGTCCTACCAATCATATAATGTTTGCTGAGCTAATCCTAGTGAACTTAATAACACAGCACTGATCAGGTTTAAACCAATCGATGAAAAACCTTTGGACCTTTTTACTCTGCATTGCTGGCTCAGATTTTTTAATTATATTTTACATTTAGGAAATAAGTTAGACGTTATAAAAGTACTTTACAAAATACCCTGCTGAAAAAAGTATTGGTAAAAAATAGAAAAAAATACTTTAACTGAGGTTTAGGGAGAAGCTAAGTCTTAGAGTTGATATATAAAGCAGGTTTCGGTAACACTGAAAATTTTGCTGATATAACAGGAGTGGCAGTAGATGTAGTTATTAGATTGAGGACAATCCTATTATCAGTATGCTCCTGTTATGAGTTAAACTCTGAAAGTTTTGGTCAGTATTGCTATAAAACTACAGGCATTAGAAATGGTTACTACTCTGAAGAGTCACTTCTGACCAAGAGTCAGAAATGTAAATTGGTTACTACTCTGTAGGGGTTCTGAATAAGAAAGTTCGCAAGATTGAAACATACAGTTATCTAGAAATAATGTTATAAAAACCAGTTCCGATACCTCTTGATTAAAAGTGATCCTGTAATATTTGTAACTGTAAACATTTTTTCAAAAAATTACAAGTTTGTATACAATACAAATACAAATGGAAGAACCCTTACTCCTGAAATTTTTTTATTGTTAATGCTGTAATATGAAATAAAGCTTTTTTTATTAACACAAGTTTTTATTTTTTGTTTTCTCGAAAGAAAAATTAGATAAGATAAATATTTACTTTTTATTGAATATATTTTAATATTATTATAATATTTAGTTGTATTTTGATTTTTTGAATCCAATTTTTCTTTTTAATCAGTAAATGTGTTGGTTTGAAGTATATAATCTTTTTAAATTAAGTCATTCTTTGTGCGCGTAAAAGACTCATAGACGTTTACACATGTGTAGTACGAGCCTTTTTTTTTTTTTTTTTTTTTTTTTTTTTTTTATTTTTTTTTTTTTTTATAATTTAGCCGTACAAATATTTACAAGTTCCGTAATTTAAAATATTTAAAAATGGCAAGGACGAGAAGAAGACGGGGTTGTCTTATCACCAAGTCCCTTGTTTGTCTAGACATTTATATAAATACATGGTAACTAAAATGAAAATTAAAAAATTAAGAAAAAAGCAAAAAATTGCAAAGAAGTTTATATAAAATGCCAAATAGTTTAATAGTTCAAATTTTTGAAAGATATTTTTTCGATTTTATTTTTTGAAAGAAAAATTTAAAAGTTCATTCAGAAAAACAAAAATATCAAAAAACAAAAAAACATGAAAAAAGTAAACGTAAAATTTAATTTACAATCTGTTCTTATAAAGTGTAATATATTAATTCCTCAAAAACAAATTACAAAATATTATTATAAAAAATTAAAACTCAAAAAAGATTACTTTTTTTATTTTTCCTCTCTCTCTCTTATTTAAGAAAACTAATAAATTTATTTAAACTAATGAAATCTAAAAATGCTAAAAATCTTTGTAAGTACTTTTTTTATAATATAACAGACTGTAATACCTATATAAAATTAAAGAATTTAGACCTTCCAGACAAATAAAGTATGCATTAGTAGATAGTTTTAATATATAATATTTTTATAGATAGATTTAAAAATAATTATCTGTTTGTTCATTATTTAAAAGTAATAGTTTTAGTTTTTGTTTAAACTGATCAAGAGTTTTAAGTGTTTTAATATCATTACTGATTATCTTATTCCATGCATTAGGTCCTCTAACAGTTATTGCAAACTTGGTGGAGTCGTATATAGTTTTGGGTTGAACAAAGTTGTTGTTAGAATATTTAGTTACGTATTTGTGTTGAATTTTATTAAATAATGGTTTGAAGATTTTTGGTATTGAATTGTTATTAATTTTATACATAAAAATCAGAAGATGATATATATTTATTTGGTACACATTTAGTATTTTTAGATTGTAAAACAATGGTCTTGAATGTGAGAGGCGGTGTGCATTTGATAATAATCTAATTGCATGTTTTTGTTTGCTAAATAGCTTTTTTATCTTTGTTTTATTGGTGCTACACCAAGCAATGTTTGCATAATTAAG